AAAAAATGCGTAGAGCTTTAGAAAAATTGCGTCAATCTGTTGATAATGAAAATCACTTGTTGCGAAATGTCATAGATCCAGAAAAAAGAAATGAAGACATTGAAAACCAAATCGATAACGAAAAACGCTTATCTATAAAAAAGGAGAAAGCTCCCGAAATAGAGAACCCACAGTAAGTATTTACTCTCCAAAATAAGTGTACATGATGAAGTCTTTTATTTTAAATAAATGCAGTGGTTCGTTAAGTGATGAAAAAATCAAGGAGCTTAACTCTATTGTGATGATGAATGGGAATAAAGCTCATGGAAGAAATGTTGTTGATGATATGGATGGAGATATGGAAGAAATGAGGAAAAAGAAAAAGCGCAATGGTTACTTACGTTATCCTGAATTACCAAATGGAATTAATGGATTTGATGTAGGAATGGGTGGAGCACGTTACGAGTCATTAAACGATGCTTATTTAGGAAATAAAAATTATATTTTTGGCTCAAATCAGTGTCCATTAATCGAGTCGATGGCTGAACGGTGTCGTGGAGTTGATTTATTAAGTGGAGATATTAATCAAGAGCTTCTACCCATATGTGGCGTCCACCAAATATGTTATTTATGCGTAAGTAAGATTTTCGTAATGGAAGTTAAGGTAATGTAATGTAATGTAATGTAATTAAGGTGGACAATATAGAACACTTAAAATACGTTTGAGTAGAATATATGCAAATTAGAGAATTGGAATTTACATTTCCCTATAAAGTATAATAAACTGAGAGGAGTAGAAAAAACATTTAATTTGAAAATATGATTGAGAGTACTTGTTTAGTAGCAAATCAAATATAATTTTTGCAATACGGTTGATTGATGACATTCCACGATAATTACTCGATAAGTCTTTTCTTAGATAATCTGTACACATTTGAACTATCTCTGAATAGAACACATCAAGAGCATTTTTTAGAAATTCGGAATGAACTCATAGTTTATAGAGATAACTATATAATAATCGTGTTAGATATCAAGTGATTTCTGCGAAAACCTGCAAAAGCATTCTTTTTGCGTTCCTTTATTTCCAATTATTTATGTTTCGTATTTTGATGTTCAGTTGCTGGTAATATTTATTGTTAGCTTTGCATAGATTTTTCTCATTTCAATTTATAATTTTAGCATGGACAGACTTTATTTACTATTAGGTAGGTCTGCTTCTTGAATGGTAAAACTACTTTTTGAGTCTCTTTTCAAATTGTCAACGTATTTCAATACCGAAAACCGAAAAGTTTCCGGAAATTTTAAATAAAACGCAAAATTCTTAATCTTCATCAATATTTATTTTATCTCCTTCAAAATATGCTCCATTAGAA